TTCTCCATAAATAAGAGGATTTGTTCCTTTAAAACCGCTTTCGTCCTTATTTATGGGCGTGTGGACTCCACCCACCTTCATCATATCCGAAATGTCGTTCACTACATTAAGATACATACATTAGTCGATATTAAATGTCTCTACCTGTTGCACTTCTCCATAAATAAGAGGATTTGTTTCTTTAAAACTGCTTTCGTCCTTATTTATGGGCGTGTGGGCTCCACCCACCTTCATCATATCCGAAATGTCGTTCACTACATTAAGATACATACATTAGTCGATATTAAATGTCTGTACCTGTTGCACTTCTCCATAAATAAGAGGATTTGTTTCTTTAAAACCGTTTTCGTCCTTATTTATGGGCGTGTGGGCTCCACCCACCCTCATCATATCCGAAATGTCGTTCCCTACATTAAGATAAATACATTAGTCGATATTAAATGTCAGTACCTGTTGCACTTCTTCATAAATAAGAGGATTTGTTTCTTTAAAACCGTTTTCGTCCTTATTTATGGGCGTGTGGGCTCCACCCACCCTCATCGTATCCGAAATGTCGTTCCCTACATTAAGATACATACATTAGTCGATATTTCGTGTCTGTACCTGTTGCACTTCTTCATAAATAAGAGGATTTGTTTCTTTAAAACCGCTTTCGTCCTTATTTATGGGCGTGTGAACTCCACCCACCCTCATTGCATCCGAAATGTCGTTCACTACATTAAGATACATACATTAGTCGATATTAAATGTCTGTACCTGTTGCACTTCTCCATAAATAAGAGGATTTGTTTCTTTAAAACCGCTTTCGTCCTTATTTATGGGCGTGTGAACTCCACCCACCCTCATTGCATCCGAAATGTCGTTCACTACATTAAGATACATACATTAGTCGATATTAAATGTCTCTACCTGTTGCACTTCTCCATAAATAAGAGGATTTGTTCCTTTAAAACCGTTTTCGTCCTTATTTATGGGCGTGTGGGCTCCACCCACCCTCATCATATCCGAAATGTCGTTCCCTACATTAAGATAAATACATTAGTCGATATTAAATGTCAGTACCTGTTGCACTTCTCCATAAATAAGAGGATTTGTTTCTTTAAAACCGCTTTCGTCCTTATTTATGGGCGTGTGAACTCCACCCACCCTCATTGCATCCGAAATGTCGTTCACTACATTAAGATACATACATTAGTCGATATTTCGTGTCTGTACCTGTTGCACTTCTTCATAAATAAGAGGATTTGTTTCTTTAAAACCGCTTTCGTCCTTATTTATGGGCGTGTGAACTCCACCCACCCTCATTGCATCCGAAATGTCGTTCACTACATTAAGATACATACATTAGTCGATATTAAATGTCTGTACCTGTTGCACTTCTCCATAAATA